TGTCACGTCGCATCAGCGTTTTCATTCAGTCGTCCGTGCAGCAAGGACCGAGAGAGCGTAGTTAAAAGGTAGCTCGCGGAACGGGACGCTGGTCCTCGCGGGTCGTTGATCTTAGGCTCGTCTTATTGTCGGCGCTGGATGCGCTTGCCGTTGGCCACGTCGCTGGATCCGCATCTTCCGGAAGATCGATGCGTATCCGGAGAAATACTTTTAAACGATCTTTCTGTATTTGTATTCCCATTGTCATACAATAAACATGTAAACAAAAAGGTTTTGCATTAAAAAGACTTTGATTTTTAATGCCAACGGCGTCCCAGTTTGTAATTTGCCATCGCACGTCGAGAGCACTGATTCCATGGCCGACAACGATCCGGTCGCCAAGGCCCGCGCGATTGCCGCGCGTCTCGGCTTGACAGTTCCTTCCGACAACAGCATCCTCGGGAAGCGCAAGAACCGCTTCGACGTACGCGTATCATTGCATGTGCCATGCGCTAAGGACCGAGGGCTAGGACGACATGGACGGCCGGAAGAAGAAGAAGGTGTACATCCCCGTCGAGAAGTACCCGGACATTAACTTTATGGGCCTCCTCATTGGCCCTCGCGGCTCGAACCAGAAGCGCATGGAAGACCTCTCGGGCTCGCGCATTCTTATCCGTGGCCGCGGCTCGGTCAAGGTGGGCATGCGAGGCATCATGCGGCCTCACGATAACGTGATTGCAGGAATCGTTTGGCGATCCCGATGAGAACGACGATATGCACGTGCTCATTACGGCCGACACGGACGACCAGATTGCCAAGGCCCAGGAGCTCGTCGAAGACATTCTCTTCAACCCGGAGAAGGCCATGAAGTTGAAGCAGGAGCAGCTCCGTCAGTATGTACCCCTTACCATACGCTTCCTGGATACAAACCACGTGTATGTAGGGTCGCTGAGAACAACGGGTCGACCGAAATCACGCATTATGGGCCGCTCGGCGGCGGTATCGGCGGCGAGACCATGTTCAAAATGTCGGTGCCCCGTGCGTTGGTCGGCTTGATCATTGGCCGCGGCGGTGAAACCATCCGCGACTTGCAGAACAAGAGCGGCAGTCATATCCAAGTCGGGCGCGAAGACGACGGCGGTCCGCCCACGGAGCGCATCGTGCAGATTGCCGGCACGCCGGCGCAGGTCGAGATTGCACGCAACATGATCAACGGCATCTTGGGCGACCGCGTCGAGGGCGGGCGTCGCGACCGCAACGAGCCGCCGCCGGACGCGCTCAAGCTCGTCGTGCCGAACGACAAGGTTGGCCTGATCATTGGCCGCCAAGGCGTGACCGTCAAGGGCGTCCAGCAGCGCACAGGGGCCAACGTGGTCGTACCGTCGGCGCCCGACAGCGAGAACCCCAGCCTGCGCACGCTCATCATTACCGGCACGTCGGAAGCCAAGGAGGCGGCGCGCGTCGAAATTCAGATGCTTGTCAACGACCAGCAAAACTTGTTGCCGCAGGGCGCCAACACCATCTACATGCAGCTGCCAAACGATCGGGTGCGAATTCAAGCGCGTACGTACCTCATGCTCACGTGTATCTTAGGTGGGTATCGTCATTGGCCGCCAAGGCGCCAACGTCCGCGCGATCCAAGAGCGCCACGACTGCCGCATTCAAATTCCCAACGTGCCGGACCCGGGGTCGATGCCCGAAGTGCGCACGATCTCGATCGCGGGCCCGACGCAGCACGCCGTGCAGATGGCCAAGGCCGAGATTGACGCGATTTTGCTCAACGACTCTGCGCGCAACTACAACAGCAACTCGCAGTAGGCGACGATTTGGCCGAGGCTTGCTTGGCTGACGAGTTGCGTAGCTATGGCGAGCAGTCGCGCGGCAGCGGCACGTACGGCACGGTCGACCCGTATGCGCCGCATTATCAGCAGCAGTACTATCAGCAACAGCAGCAGCAATACCAGCAGTACCAGTCGTACTACGGGCCGGCCGGTGATGCGACCGCCGCGACGACGACGACGACGACCGCAGGTGACGCGACTGCCGAGGCGGCGGCCCCCGATGCGACAGCGGCGACGGCAACGGCAGATCCCAACGACCCGAACGCGTACTGGAATGGCTACTACGAGTACGCGGCGTACTATGGCGTGGACGCGGCGAATGCGGCGTGGGGCGTGACCGCGGCGGCCGACGGGTCGACGAATGCGCCTCCTGCGGAAGGCACCTCGAGCGAAACCAAGAAGGAAGACGAGGTACCGTCCTTTATACTTGCATGCACTCTTGGCTCGTCCTCTCTACTCTCTCTCTTCTTCTCCTTGAATGGTCGTCACCAACCTCCTGTGCCTGGTTCTTCTAGGCGGCCAAGTGAGCAGCTGCGCAGGCAAGCGTCGTCGCCCTCGTTAACCCGTTCATCGAGGCTTTCTACGTCGTCTGTCTTGCGTATGTGTTGTGTGTTGTGCCTAGCTCGGCCACGCGAACAAGAAGTGTTGTCGTGCAATCATCTCGGGCTGGTCGACCGCAAGGTACTCGTTCGTTCGTTCGATCGTCGCCATCTCGACGCGCGCTCACGCTGCTGCCACGTCAGATGCCCGAGTTCAAGCCTTGCATCTGGCGACATGTCGGCGCGCATGCACCATGCGCTGGACACGCTCCGCCTGCGCAAGCGCTGCCGGCCAGTCGCACAACCACAAGAATGCTCTGTCCGACCGTTCCGTACATTGAAAAGCCGAACGTTTCGTACATTGCAATACAAAGATCAAGTTGAAACATCCATGCGTATTGTACGTGTACGTACCTCTGACGTGGCGCGTGCATATCACCTTCGAACTTCGCGCCAACGCAGCCTAACTTCGCCAGCCGGGGCCAACTCCGGGGTCCGCGTGCGCATCGAGCCGGAGGCCATCCGTTTATCCGGACATTTCCCGCCGATCGGCGGCTGTTATCCGGCGCTGGCGAATTGGACCACACAAAAGTTCCCTTTGTGGTCGGGGATTCGACCAATCAGAGGAGACGATTAGAGATCAAGATCTGACCGTGATTACAAGTCATGTTGCATTATATTCGAAGCCTCTTGATACAAACAACAAGATAATAGAATAAATTGGAACAATGATGTGGATCCGACCAAGGACGCCGAGCATCTTCCTTGGCTGCTTCCATGCACATTTTGCATTTTGCCAGCAAGGTAGCAACACGAACATGAGCAAGCTCGATCGCGCGGTCTACGACAAGTACATGGAGCTCGACACTGGTAGCTTCATCCAGGCCGAGTACGTCTGGGTCGGCGGCTCGGGCGAAGACCTCCGCTGCAAGACGCGCACGCTCGATAAGTACCCGACCTCGGTCGCCGACCTCCCGATCTGGAACTTTGACGGCTCGAGCACGGGCCAGGCGCCTGGCCAGGACTCGGAAGTCATGCTCAAGCCCGCCGCCATCTACAAGGACCCGTTCCGCCGCGGCAACCACATCCTCGTCATGTGCGACTGCTACAAGCCCGACATGACGCCGATCCCGTCCAACACGCGCTTTGACGCGGCCCGCGTCATGAAGGCGTGCGAGAAGGAAGTCCCGTGGTTCGGCATCGAGCAGGAGTACACGCTCTTCGAGGCCGACAAGGTCACGCCGTACGGCTGGCCCGTCGGTGGCTACCCGGGGCCGCAGGGTCCGTACTATTGTGGCGCCGGCGCGCACTCGGCCTTTGGCCGCCTCATCGCCGACGCGCACTACCGCGCGTGCTTGTACGCTGGCATCCGCATCTCGGGCATCAACGCCGAAGTCATGCCCGGCCAGTGGGAGTACCAGGTCGGTCCCTGCACGGGCATCGAATCCGGTGACCAGATGTGGATCTCGCGCTACATCCTCCTCCGCGTCTGCGAGGACTTTGGCGTCATCGTGTCGTTCGACCCGAAGCCGATTCCCGGTGACTGGAACGGCGCCGGCTGCCACACCAACGTGTCGACCAAGGCGATGCGCGAAGACGGCGGCATGGTCAAGATCATCGAGGCGCTCGAGAAGCTCAAGTTGAAGCACAAGGTGCACATTGCCGCGTACGGTACGGGCAACGAGCGCCGCCTCACGGGCCGCCACGAGACCGCGTCGATCGACCAGTTCTCGTACGGTGTCGCCAACCGCGGCGCGTCGATCCGCATCCCGCGCCAGGCCGAGGCCGACGGCAAGGGCTACTTCGAAGACCGTCGCCCGTCCTCCAACATGGACCCGTACGTCGTCACGGGCCGCATCATGAAGACCATCTCGCTCAACGAAGCGTAAGCATTTGTAGTAGTACAGTAGTAAGAAGAATCATCGAACCATCCTCATTCCCTTGTATCCATCGCCGCCCATCATCCGCTCTGTGTTTCCGTCAACAGCGTGCGTGTCGCCAACCACGTTCTTTGCAGCCGCGACACCTGCCCTCGCACCAGCCGCGTCCTGGACGGCGTCGGGCGCATGGGATCGAGTACTGGTTGGCGGAGTAGCTACCGCGTCGATCGAACCTGCGGCCGCTGGTCGCCAGCTGCGCCACGTCAAAGTTCCCAAGCTTCCATGCATTTTATCACTTGCGGTTTGTATTAGCTGGACGTCGATAGTCAGCAGCTGGACGACACTCGGATCTCTCAAGATCGTCTCATTTGCTCCGCCAGCGCCAACTCTGTCTCGGATCCGACCGCGTCGTAGGATCGAGGCGACGTTCCGCCGACCAGCGCCACGCATTCGCCCTGCAACGCTGCTTCGACTACTCGCTACCAAGCGCAAGCGATGACGTCCATGGCTCATGGCTCATGGCTGGTCGAGCATTACGCATCTCCGGCGTCCAGTAGGCAGCCAAATGCGATCGGTGGCGCTGGCCGTATCAAGTCCATCACCGACTGCCGCCAACGAGTAACAACTGTGCCATGTCACTGCACCAAGCAAACTAAGAACCGAGTTGCTTCTGGCTCATTCTCCAAGATCCACCCCGAGACGACGAAATCGAGCGCCTGTCCGCCTCAATAGACCGTGTCGGCGGCCAGTTGACCTTCAAGACACATTTGACATGCTTCTGCACAAGTGCTTCAACACCCACCTGGTAAGACGCGCAGTAATAGCCCCGTTACCGCAGCGCACTGGCTCGCAGCGCGCGTGGACGCCAAGCAGTTACTCACCGCTGGCCTCGCGTCGGTAACTGCGCTACGTCGCGCGATCGGCGGCGCCCCAAACTTTCTCGCGCATGGCGATCGTCCTGCAGATATTGGGCGGCGCTGGCCACGCTTGTTGGGTGCGTCGATATTGGGACAGGTTTGACAAATGGCGTATCAGCGTGGGATTTGCCATCGGCTTTTTTGCGAGCGCAAGGGTTACGTACACAGTACTTGGCCATCCTCTTCGTCGAGGCAGAGACCATCAACGGCCATGACGGCGACAACAACGACCATGACGACGAGCAGCAACAAGAAGCCGCGCGGCGCCAAGCCCGAGGCGTCGGCCCACATGCCCTTCTTCATGACCAAGAAGAACGCGCCGAACGTGTGCTTCACCCGCGGACCCCTGAGCCTCGAGAGCGCCTTCCGCGGTAATGACGCCGCGGCGTCCTTTGACGATGACGGGCTTGTTGTAGTCGGGCGCCATCACCCGCATGGGCTGCACAGCGACTTGTTTGCGGACTTTCCGAGCGCGCCCGCCCCGCCCAAGCCCGATGACTTCGAGCACGAAAACAAGCTGCTCCAGGAGGAGGTGCTGCGCCTCGAGAGCCAACTGGTCACGATGCGCTGCGACTTGGCGGTCAAAGAATTTGAAGTTCTCGGGCTCAATTCGGAGAACCAGTACCTTCGGCGCATGCAGCATCAGGCGACGCGCAAGACGGACGACCTCATTGCCAAACTCTCGGCGCAGTGCGAGTATGCGCAAAAGGTGGCCCACGACCAAGAGCTGGCGCTGCGCCGCCAAGCCCGCGAGATCGAAGAGAGCAAGGCGTGGATCCTCAACCAGTACTTTACGGGCTGCGTCGACGACAATGTGCCCAAGCCGGCGTCCTGGGAAGACCCGAACACTCTACGCGTGGATGTGATTGAAGCGTCCGCGTCGCTGCTCGCTACGCCGTGGGCCTCGCCGTTCACGTCGATTGCGACACCGCTGCTGCGATCGCCGAGCGCCCAGGCGCAGCAAAAGCTCGTGTCGCAGCTCGAAGACGTCGAGAACCTCCTCGCGCGCTGCGTCGAGCACCAGAAAGCGAGCGTCTCGGAAGTCGCCAACATTGAAATGGCCATGGAAGAAGCCTGTGAGCAGTACTACCACGTGCTCGAAGAACCCGTCGAGGAGCCGACGTGCGCAACGACCGAGCTCAAGACGGACGACGCGGCCGCGTTTGAGTTTGACGCGCTCATCTCAGAACTCAATGGCCTCGTGTGCCGGTACGATGCAGTACCGGCCTGCGGAGCGTAGTCGCCCTCGTGTATATATATTTAAGAGCCTCCTCCATACGACACTAGCTTTAGTAGATCAAGTGTCTAGACGAACTGCAGCAGAAGCGGTGGCGGCGGCCCCGAGGCGGTGGACGATAGCATGACGAGGTGCACCTACAGTGGCGCAATGTCAGCACCGTCGACAAGCAGAGATAGCGTCAGTACCGAAGGAGGCAAGGGCTTCTTTGTCGCTGGGTGCTGCTGAACGACGTGCTTCTTGCGCTTGGCGCGGCTCATGTGCACCGCAAACTCGAACGTCGTCATCCCTGTAGCATGCGAATTAGTGTTTGTTGACGAAGCAGATGTGGACCTGTACGATAGATGTACGCCTGAAAGGCCGCGAGGACAAAGAGACCCATGAGGCCCATGGCTGGCAAGGCTGCAAGCAGCGCCACGAGCGCTTTCGCTCTAGAACCATGTATACATCGTTGGATCAAATATGAGAGCGCTACCCGGATGAAGCCGAGCTCACGAGAAGCGTAGCGATGGCGAGCGCTGTCTGGACAAGGAGGTACGCGATGCTCGCAGCAATGAGGAGGCGGAATTGCCGGACGTTCGCCGTGCCAATGCACGTATTGAGGTAGTCACAGTGGTGGTCGAACCCCTCGACGCACTTGGCGCAACAGAGACAGTGCTTGGTGCGCGAGTTGACCGTGAGATTGCAGGACCGGCAGCGCGCGATCTTCTCGCCCGGGTGCAAGCTTCGCGGGTACTTGGTAGCGAGCGTATCGGCTGTGGACACTGCGATGAACAAGGCGACCATGACGCCAAAGAGCACTGCAATTGCCATTGCGACGCTGGCGAGGACGACGAGGTCGCAGAGGTCATGGGCCTCGGGCACCAGTAGCGCCGTCGAGAGGCCGGCGCACACGACCGAGAGGCCAAATATGCTTACGACGATGACCTGGCGCGGGTGCCACGGGCGCTCCAAGCCATGGCGCCGCTGGCGACCGTTGCGCTCGTCCAGCATTCGAAACTGGCGACGCGACACCCTCTCGAACCTGATATGAATCCCATACATTTTTGCAAGTGTCAATGAGCGGTATCTTATTAAGTATGAGAGGTCGGAAACCCACGCAAGTCTCCACCACAGCGAACTTTAGTGTACCATAGTTCCCTTGCTGTGGCGGACAGATTGTCATTTGTTGTTGTTGGACATAGCTGCTATCGATAGGACTTTTATCGATAGGACTTGGAATTATTAGCAACAGATCGCGTTGTCATCTGCACCAACTGCACCAACTGCACCAACTGCGCGAGTACTGTAGCAAACACAACCTGCACCACCGCTGGTGCAGCCATGGCCCGGCGATATAGTGAAGAGGAAATTTGCTAGTGTGGATGGAGGGATCAACAAATATTCTAAAATTGTACAGAATACGTAGCTGACGACAAGACAACTCAACAATGAATCGACGAATTCAGACAATTTGAATTTGAAGCGGAACTTTGGTGGGAAATAGAGTGATTTTGCAAGCGTGAAATGCCATGTCCCACGCAGTCGGATTAACCGGATAGTGTATCCGGATGCATAATGCAATCGATTGTGTCATTTGCCATTGCACGCGTCCATCATCGTCGGCATGCGCGACGACGAGATCCTCGGCCCTGGCGAGTACACGTGCCGGCGCACGTCGGCCGCCGTCGCATGGGACGGCTTCGCCTTCGCCAAGGGCGTCTTCGCCAAGCGCCATGCGATCAAGAGCTTGATCATGGCCAAGGTCGAGGCCAACATTGCCCTGAGCGATATGGCCAGTGGCTGGGACGAGCTGCACGTGGGCCACCAGCTTGTGGCCGTCGACGGCAAGAGCGTCGACCGACTCTCATCTTCGGAGCTCGCGCGCCTCTTGCTTAATGTACGTGTTGTGCCATTGCATCGCGGTGTCTGGATTGTCTGGTAGGCGACCGAGCTCACGCTCGTGGACGAGAAGCGCGGCCAGCTTGAGCGCGACCTCATGCTTAGCGTGCGTGGGTCAGTGCACTTTATGTCGGCCGTCGAGCTCCACGAGCGCATGCAGCGTGCTGTGGCGTTCCTGCTGACAAACAAGCTCGACATGGCGTTTGTCCTCCTCTCGGAAATCCCGCCGGGCGCCGACGTCCTCGTGAGCGTCCTCAAGGCCGAGCTCCAATTCGTGCGTGCGCTCGTGTCGCAAGATGCGCTCTGCACACAGGTACGCTCGCTCGTCTGCTTGCCTCAACAACCTCCTCTTGCTGGTTAGAAAGCCATCGAGGACGCTGAAAAGGCGGTCGCGATCGTCTCGCAGTTCACAGAGCTACCGCAGCGCTCGGTCGCGCGCAAGCTTCGATGCGATGCTGCGCTGGCCGAGGCGTATGCACTGACCGGCATATCGCACCTGCTCCAGCACAACGTCAACCCCGCCGTGACCGCGCTGCGCAAGAGCCTCAGTCTCTACACGTCGCTTCGCCATGCGCTGACGACCGCGTCGCCGCGTCTGCCGCAACGCACGTACACGGATCTTCTCGGCCGCGCGCGCTTTGGACTTGGCGTCTTCCACCTCTTTAGCGCCGTCGTACCGGCCGAATTTCAGTGGATTCTGCAGCTGCTCCAAGTCCATGTCGACACTCCGCACGGTATGAAGCAGCTGCACGCCGCGTGGACAACCCAAAACTTGCGTGCCCCGTGGGCCGGGGTCGCGCTCATGAACGCATCGCCCGCGCTTCTGCAACACCGACTTCGCACCAAGTCGACGACAACACCAACAAGAAGGACCGCGTCAACCGATGACGAGCTGTCGTCGTCGTCTTCGTCGCCGGCTTCGTCCGATGACGAAGGCGACACGAGTGCCATTATGCACTGGCACGACCCCACTGCCATGCGCGAGACGCTGGAGCGCGTCATGACCGAGTGCTTGCGGCTACACCCGAATTGGGTCATCTACCTCTGGAGTGCGAGCGTCGCAGCCCAGTGGCAGGACCCGTCGCGAGCCCTCGTCCTCGGCGTCCGCGCCGAGGCAGCCGTCGGTGCGAGCGAGCGCACGTACCAGCTGCAGCTTCACAATGGCCACGTAAGCTTCCGCATCCTTGCCGTCGAGCGCGCGACGTCGTATTTCCAGTCGATCATCACGCAACACGCGCGGACCAAGGCCATGGCGCCGACGTCGACGCAGCTCGATGCGTGCGTGCACCTCGCAGCGTGCATCGGCCTCGACGATCCACGAGCAACCAAGACGATGCGGTCGCTGCTTCGCCACGCACTCTTCTTGTACGTCCCACCACTAATATCTTTTCTACTTGGACTATCGCAGTGGGATGGTAGGAAGAAGGAGCCGATCGACGAGGACGCGGCGTTGCTCCTCGACCGCGCGGCGTACTACGACCGCCTCCCGGATGCCCACTTGCCACTCTTGGCCTTTGACTTGCTCTTCCTCGGCGCCGACCAACGACTTACGGGATCCGAGATTGCCGACGCCGCACAAATGTGGATGACGCGCACGTGTCCGACGGTCGTGACGCGCCCTGCGTCGAGCATCGCGCTCGAGACCGCATTTGCAACGTGGTCGGTGGATCGCAGTTTCGCGACTCTGGACGAAGTGCATTTGCAGCTGGATGCGTGGACGCTCTACGGCCTCGTACTGCGGCAGATGCCATCGACTCGCAACGACGCGTTGCAGTGCTTTGCGTCGGTCGTCGCTCTCAGTAAAGTCTGGCCGAACGTCGCGACTCCGTGCGTGGCAGCGGCAGCGTTCTGTCTCACAAAGGACCTCGTGCACACGGCGCTGGCACCGGCCCTCGACGTCCTCCACCACGGCGCGTCCTACTACGTGAACGACAAAGGAGGGCTTTTGACATCCATGTACCTCCGCCGCATCAAGATGCTCGCGTCCGTCCTGCGGCATCGCTCGAGCAGCACCGCCGCGCGATAGAGTCGCTAGCATCCCACTAATTAGAATAGTCTCTTTTAGCCGAGAATGTGTCGCCAGGACAAGCCCACAGCAATATGATGCAAGATGCAGCACGCTTGCACGTCCGAAGACCGAAGGGTATCTGGCTGCCGCTTGGGAGCTTTACCGTCAACGGCTAGTTGCGTCAGTCGCCAAGGCCACGACAACCCTAACCCTTGCTTTGTGCGAGAGTCGATGAGGAAAGGCAGACAATGACGTCCGTGTCAGCAGACGAATTGTATAGTACGGAGATGGATCGATCAGTTCTTAGAGACGCTCGACGCGATCGAGACGCAGCGACGCTGCAAGAGTCGCGACTGCTTCGTCGAGCGCATCTTCCAGCACGAGGGTGACGTTGGAGCCAAATGAACTAATGTTGAGCACTTGCGTGTGCACCGAGTCGAGTCCCGACATGGCAGCGACGATGCCCGTCTCGTCAAAGCCATACTTGCGTCCGCAGAGCGTAATGACGCGCCATCGGTCCGGCGACACAACGACGGCACTCTCGGAGAAGTCGCTCAAGCACTCTTCGTCGAGGATCAAGCAAATTTCCTCGGCCGTTTCGCAGTAGCACCAGAACGCGCTGGCGTGCTGGCGCGACGTCGTAGCCACGCCCGGCGCGTTGGTCGTCATCAGCAGCTGCGTGAGCCCAAAGGCACTGTCGCGAATCGCGTCCTTCTTCAAGCGAACCAGCACCATGGACGCCGGGTACACTACATGCCGGTCTTAGGTGGTGTGTGACAAGCATCCAACCGCACCGGCGAGGTATTGGGACGACGATCCAGCAACACTGACGGGCGACGGTAGCAGTGACGAGGGGCTTGAGAGGTGACTGGGCGAGTCGGACCCTTCGCTGCTAAGTCGCCGACTGGTCTCCTCGTCCTTGACCTATGACGGTGTCCTAAGTCGCGTCATCTTGCAGACGACGAGGGTTCCTACCTCTTTGAGACCGTGGACACCGCGTGAGAGCTTGCTCTGAAGGCAGTGAATGGCCTTTTCCAAGTTGCATTCCTACTCAGCCGCGTCTAGCGACGACTGCGCCATGCGACGAGCAACGTACTTGGACGTAAATGATGTCGGTGTCGTAGGTGCTATCTCGACACCTGAGTGGCGTCGGGCATTGGTCAAGAGATCGCGTACCTCATGTTGAGAATGCTAATGTTGTCTTCGGCGAGCAGCTGCGAAAGAAAGCTACGCAGCGCATGAGCTGTGTACTGTGCATTCCACGCACCGTATGACGCCGGGAAACTCGGCGACCATTGGGCCCAAGTGGATCTATGGTGTCGTTGGATGGGCATAGTATCGGTCGAGGAGCCGTCTCTCTGTACCTGGATCGCTCGCCACTGCTGGGGCGCCAGGTGAATGTCTTCCAGCACCTTCTACAACACGCATCGTACTCGTGCTGCATCAATGCTGAAGCGTACCGCAAACTCGAAGACCTTGACACCGTTCGGGTCCACGAAGAGCGTGATCCCGTCCTTGTCGGCGACCATCGAGAAGACCTCGGCCTCCTTGGACCGGCAAATGTGCGACGCGCTCACGTTTGTGTCGCCTTCCCGGCACACGACGCTGCAGCCGCCGTAGAGGAGCAGGCTACGCGGTATGGTCTGGAAGGACGATCGCCAGTCGCACGTACGTGAGGAGCGCCCAGCTGCATGCATGGACGCGCTCGGGCGGGATCAAGAGAACCGCAAGTGCACCTACGTGCAGCTCCATGGAGCTCATAGCCCATCGCGCGACCATGTACCTGGCAGCAGCGTCGCATGGAAGTTGGACGTCGAGACCAAGTCCATGTGCTTTGTCTTCTGGAGGTTGCAAACCGCCACGTGCGTTTTTCTTCTAGTCGACTAAACCGAGTAAAAGTCATGGACACATTCCCTTAAAAAGTATGTTGCTCGATGCACGCACTTGGAATCCGCACGACTTGCGGCGCCAACGTGGCAGCCTTTGGTACTGCAAGACGAGAAAATGTGGGATTGGAGACTTGATCCAGCGCCCAGCGCGGCAAGGCCATCCTTGTTGCGTGCAAGGTCGCGGCCGTCGCGTGCTGAACAGCGTCGCATCGATGGGGGTTAGCCACGGCAACGAGCGCCACGAGAACGTTCTCGTCTGCTTGCAGCGTGCGCTAGAGCCACGCGAATCGGCGCCATGTGTGCTGGCACCCTGACATGGCTACTTCGTGTTTCGTAAGTGTACTTGTGTAAGCGAATTCCAACGGCGGACGGTGCGATGTCGATCGGTTAAACGACTAAAACGCCTTGCCTGTCATAGTCGTGGTATCGACTACCGTTGCGAAAGGTCGCGCAGGATGGAGGCCAACCGCCGGTTCCTTGACCAGCACCCTCCCGACGCCCGCCGCAGCACGAGCGCCAAGCCGACCACCAAGGCTGCGCTGCCGCACCGGTTCCGCTCCGCGCTGAGCATGGCGGCCATGCACAGCGTACTTGTCTCTTCTTGTCCTCGGCCATCACGAGAAGCATCATCTGCAATAGGACCAAGACGAGCTCGCCAAGCACATCAAGGTGCCCATGCCACCATTACCCTCCCCGCAATGGCTCATGCTGGTGGGTCGTGTCTAGCCGGGCCTGTACTTTTACAAGTTTCTGCAGCCCGTCGGCGGCCGGCGCCTCGAGCTCAACATCCCCGACACAGTCCTCTGCGAGAGCAGCGAGAGTGCCAAGGAGGACGTCCTATGGCTCGTGACGGACGCGTCTGGCCACATTTGCTGCGTCGACCGCCCGATCAACTGGAAGCGCAAGTTCATCGCTGACATCACCGTGCCGGCCTCGACACCCGCGCCAGTCGACCCAAGCGACTACCACGCCCATTACATCCCCAAGCCGACGAGCGAAGACGTGCTCGCTGTGCGCAAGATGAGCAGCACCAAGCCGTTCGCGCCGCCGTCCACGACTACGATTGCGATTCCCAAGCGCCATTTGGACCGCATTCTGCAGAGCGACACCAAGAAGCTCGGGTACGTCGTACAAAAGTACATTCGGTGTCGTGGCATCAACGCCGCCTTTTACCGCGCCGTGTGGGTGCACGGCAGCCAGAACCCGTACGCGCTCTACATCCTCAACAAGTACACCTGTCGTCTCCTTTGTGGACAACTTGTCTATTGTTATATAGCAACAAATTTTCCGACTATGCCCGACCAAGTCCGCTTGCGTTGGCATGCACTGGGTGTCTCATGGTCGATCTATGCTTAGCGGCCGAGCGAGCGCACGAGCTCGAACTGCATGACACGTCGCTCGAGGTCGCGACCGACGTCGCCAAGTATTACTGTGCGTCGAGCACCGCGCTCGAGCCGAGCGAGACGAACGGCGGTGTGCCCTTTGTACCAGATTTGCACGCCTCCAAGCTCCGAGGTACATCGTCCGCGCACTCGCGCGTTTCTACGGTAGTCCACCGGGTAGGCCCGCCGATTCAGCCGGCGCTGGACGCGGTCGCCCGCATTGTGCAGCACGTGCAGCACCACATTCCGTGCGTCAAATTCGATGAAATGGCCGTCGATTTCATCAAAGACATTGACGGAAAATGGTGGTTTCTCCAAGTTCAATCGTTCCACTACAAGCTCCGAACGACGACGCCGCCGGACGTCAGCGACGTGTACGAGTCGCTCGTGTCGATACCGAAGCGCCTCTCACTCCGCACAAAAGAAGCGTGTGCCAAGGCCCCGAAAGCTGTCGTGTCCTTACCGTCCTCGATGCTGTGCTTCCTCTGCCATGAAACCTTTGCGCTCTCGCTCGACGATGTCGCATCCTTGGGCTTGGTGCTGGACGACGACGACCACATGAAGCTAGCGACCAACGTGTCGGGCTACATCATGACGTTCAAGATGGTGCTCGACACAATCTGCGGCCTCCGCCAGCGCGGCGTCTACATGCACGTTTGGGAGGCAAGCGTCGCGCTGCAACGTGGCCTCAACCAGCAGCTCGTGCTCTCCAACGAGTGCCGGGTTTGCTTTGTGTGCTATCAGATCTATAAACACCAAGTGCGCGTGACGACGACGGCACGAACGATTCATGCATTCTTCCACGCCGACCCGACGCACCCGCCGCCGCCCGTCGTCCGCATCGACGGCATCCTCGCACGCATCCTCGAAGCCCGGCGCGAGCACGACGTGCGCGACTTTACCTACGCCGAGCAAGCGCTGGCGAAACCGCGTCTGAGCGCTGTCCGCGGAACCGACGTCGACCCGAGCTGCGACCACTTTTGCGTGTGCTTGTTCTTTCATGAAGTGCAGGACGTTGCGCTACGGACCGCGGTCGCCACCGACTATGTGCTCGAGTACCAGCTCGGTCAAGCGTTTTGCAAGCTCTCCTTTGACGGCCCCAAGTTTCACTCGATCCACCGCTGGCAACTCTGCGAAGTATGGCGATTTCAGATTTGACATAGTACTCAGTTCTTATTGGGCAGGCGAGATTGCACTATGTGCTGGCATCCCCCGAGGCGTTTACCGAGTACTGCGTCGAAAGCAAAATTCACGTCAAACTCAAAACGCGCGACGGCGTCTTTGCCGGCCACGCGTTTATGTCGCTTAAACCTCTTTTGCTCGCGGCGCACGCAGCCATGACGTCCGATGAAGCCGACGCCAACGGTGATGAGACCGTCAACCCGCGCCGACCCAGTGCATTCCCGCGCAACTGCTCGTGCGATGTGCTCGTACCGCTCAAGACCCATGATCTGGGCTTGCTCAAACTCAAAGTGACGCTGGGGCTGATTGCGTCGCAGGACGATTTTGCCAACTACCGCGCCGCCCTCGAAGACCTCGACGTTATCCAAGAGAGCAACGTGTACTGGCCGCAGCTCTCGTATTTCAAGCCGAGCGTCGTCCTTCCGATCGAGTGGATGACGCTCCTCACGTCGTCCGAGTATGTGAGTCATACGGCAGACATTTCCCAGTACTTTGCATACCTTCAGGACATTTGAGACATGGTATTCGGGTGTAGGTCGATTGATGAGAGCGTGGCCCTCAACATCCTCACGCTGCCGCACGAACCAGCGTCGCCCAAGGAAGAGAAGAAGCCCGACGAGAAGATCCGCAACCACGACCGCGACATGCAGCCGCCCCTCGCCACGGTAGTCGCACGAACCGTCTTTGGTATGAACGCTATGGCTAGGTCCGTCACGTGGTCTTTCGGCTCGCTGGCAACGTCGAGACGTTTCCGGCGCTGTTGCTGGGGCATTTACTGCGATCCGTGAGCTTTGGCAAACTCACGGGCGCCAAGCCCCGCGCCGCGTCATGGCGAGCGCCTGCAACCCTGCGACTGACGGCCCACTACACCCTCGACACCATTTTCGCAGGCCTCGTCAAGGCCAAACCGTCCCGCCTCGAGCCGATCGCTGTCTTTGGCGAGCTCATTTTGCTGCTTTTGGCGACCAAGCGCATTCCGCGCGTCTTGAGTCTGAAAGCGCTCGAGGCGACGTTCTCGCCGTACTGGCTCCAGCGCACGGCGAGTGTCATGGACCCGCTTCCGTCGCACGTCGACGACGCCGTCCTGCTCTCGAAGCGCGTACTTTGGAATCGCGCGGTGCGGCGCTGTCAGCTCGCGGGCTTTGGGAACCCGTCCATGGCCTTTGTGGCGCGGCTCGAGTGGCCCGGACACATTCCGCCGACGCAAGTGCTGCACCGGAAACGAAGTCTTCGCACGCGGCTTCGCCTCTTGGCGTACGCCCAAATGTTTGAGCTCGTCGAGAGCAACGACTCGGGCTACTTGGACATTGGCGAGTTTCGCTGTTTGCCGCAGGTACCGTCGCTTCTTTCATCTCGCAGAGTGCAGTGAACAGGGCTGTAGAGCATGGGCAGCCACTCGCGACTGCTCAAGAAGCGCCGGTGCACGCGCACGATGCCCGACTTTGTACAAGTGGCGCCCGGCGATGTCGTTGTCGCTCCCACTAGCCCCGTCGAGCGCCGGTCGAGTCTCAAGCTCTCAGACGCCGAGCTCAACAACGCCAGTCAGCCATTGGCGTCCATGGCGCTCCTGCATGCGTGGGACGACCGTCTCTTCTCGTGCGTCATCACCGCCTTCGAAGCGACGCTCGCGTCTCTCGTGCAGAGCGCACAGTTTCAAGCTGCGTTTGCCCACTTTGACGAATTTGGCTCGGGCGGCTATGCCTACCACGGTACTTTGCCTCTTTGTATCAACGTTTCAAGAAGTGGACAGATTTCTGGCTCATGGCCGAGAACGCGCTCCAAGACGGCAGTGGCGACCGGCAGCGCGTCGACGGCTTTTGCCTTCGGCACGGACTCACAGAGATGTACGCCAACGACTACGTGTGTGTGCACTGCGACTTTGACGTGCGAGTCGTCGTCTTCTTGATGGGCTCTCATGCGGCGCGTAGTACTTGGACCCGTTCTTTCTCGAGGCCAGTGGCCCGACGCGCGTGGACGGACCCGTGGCAGTGAAGACCGAGACTGCGGACGAGGACGGGGACAACGACGAAGACGAGACACCGGCCGTGCCCCGGCTTCGCTCGCTGCGCTTCAATCCGAGCGACTTTTGCAGCCAAATCATGCTGGAAGCCGCGCCGGACGAGCCAAAGCCCCACCGCTTCCTTCGGCAACACACGGTTGATCTCGGGTCGCTGCCGTCGACGCGTCTTCGTCATCGCAAGTCGTCGTCCCGACGTTCATCCACGGACGTAGCGACCTTCGACGCACTTGCCTTGGCACCGCAACCGCAGGCAACCGAGGTGGACCCGGCAGCCGACGATTTCCTAAACGATGACGACGATGACGACGACGACTCGTCACTGGCGTCGGCGGCGGCGGTCGTCCCGCAAGACGACGAGGAAGACGACGACCAGATCGGCGCGCTCTCCTACTTCAAGCACGTCGAGAGCAACTTCATCACAAAAGCATTCGAAGACAAAGTCGAACACCGGATCGCGCGCAAGTACGCGCCGATCCAGAGCGTCGCGACGCTCGACCACGTCACCCGCGACGAGGTAGCGCTCCACGAGATGCTCGAGCTTCTCGAGGCGGCCGAGAAAGAGTTGCACGAGACACCGCGGAAGCCGCAACTCTCGCCCAAGCCCAAGCGGCACTTGCAGAAGAGTGCGAGCGCCCCCGACACGAGCAACCAACAGCCGTTTGTGCGAGCGTCGACCGATCCAGCAACCAAGAAGCTCGATGCCAAGACCCAAGCCCGGCTGCTGGAAAGGCTCTGCAAACCGCCAAACAAACGCATGCAGAGCAGCGCGTCGTACGCAAATTTGCTGCAAAAGGAGATGGCGCGGACCGGCAAGACCGACGTCCTCCGCAGCATTGCGCGCATGGAAGCCAAGCGGCGCGAGGTACGTTCGTCATACAGAGGCTGTCTCTCCTGCACGCGATGTCTAGCTCGATGACAAGGTCGCCGACGAGATCCAGGGCATCCGCGAGCAGTTAGCATCCCTCCACGCGTCGACGCACCGGCGCAATCGATAAGGGACAGCAAAGAACGTTGCCATTAGAGCTCTGCGACTTGCGGTCGGGGCGCGCTGGGCGCCGCGTTGTGCGAGACGAGCTCGGCGCGCCGGCTCTTGAGCGCCGACATTTCATTGCGAATGTCACTCCGTCTGTTGTTGAGTTGCTTGAGGAGCTCGCCTTCCTATGGTCCTATGAGTACGCGATACAAACGGCAGAGGAACGTACAGGCTTGTTGGCGTACGCCTTGAGCAAATTCGCTTGCTCTTGCTTAAGATGCTCGAGCTTCGAGTCGATCTCGTGCAGCGTCGCCTCGAGCTACGTGTGGTCGTTCGTGTCCCTGGTGCTATTACATAAGCGGTTGCTCTACCTTCATCTTGGACTGTAGTCGCAAGTCGGACTTCTTTTCGACAACTTGGCTAAACATTTCTTTGCGTTCTTCTTCAATCGCGAGCCGATGCTGCTTGACGGCTTCGACCTTGCTGTGGAGCTTTGTGAGCTTCTCGACCATCTCGTCGAGCTCGGCCGCGACCGGGTCGTCGCCGCCCGCCGCCTTGGTCTTCTCCTGCGCCTCCAGCCGCTGCTTGGCCGCTTGGATCGCGGCGCCGAGTGCCTTGTTGTCGCGCTTGTAGCGAATGCGCGCCGTCACGAGCGCTTTGGCCTTCTCCTCGAGCGCCTGGTTGGCGGCCTGCATCTCGGCGTTGATGGCGCGCTGGTCTTCGTTCTACATGCAGATGATGGCGAGGTGGTAGGGGTAGGGCAAAGCGTACGGCCAAAATATCCTTTTCCGTCTACAGCAGAGGCGACATGAGCGATCCAACAAGGCCAGACAGGAGCGCACGCACCGCTTCCTTGCGCAGTGTGTCGACGACGCGCGCGAGCTCGGTCGCATTGGCCTGCAGCGTGTCGTACTCGGCCTTGACCTTGCGGTACTGCTCCACGAGCAGCGACAGCTTCTTCTGCTGGAGGGCAACGTCGCGGAGCTTCTTCTGGTGCTTGGCGCGCAGCGCCTCTTCCTGCGCCGCGCTCTTCTCGGCCGCCTTCTTGATGCGCTCTTCGAGGTTGGCGGTTTTCTCGCGAATCGCTTCGTCCGACTGGACCGCGCTCGCGTCCTGGGCGTTGACAAGCCACGGCAACGACCCGAGGTCCGTGATGTTGGCGTAGTCCTTTGTAAAGTCTTTGCCCGCGCGCGTCGCAAAGTTCATGGTCCGGAAGCCCGACTGCTTCTTCTGCGCCGTGCGCGAGAACGGGTCGTCGGCGTCTTCGTCGCTCATCCTAGCGTCATGGCATCAGTAGGTTGAGGCATTGGAGGAGGAGGATGGCAAGTACCGCAAATCTTGCTCGGCCGCCCACGTCGTCGTCGTCTCGGGCTCGGCCTCGGCGCGGCTGCCTTGGTCTTTCTTTTTGTAGTAGCGCACGTGGCGGCGGCGGCGCACGGCGTCGTTCGGGTGCTTTGTCGCGTGGCTGAGCTCCTCCTTTGCGAGCTTGAGCACGTCGGTCCAGTCCGCGCCGTACGTCCAGCCGTCCTTGTCGACGCTCGCCCAGTTGGAGAAGAGGTCGACCTCCCACTCGCTCGTCCACTCGTACCCTTCCGGCAGCGTCGTCGTCGGAAAGACGTCGTCGCCCAGCCCGATCGCAGCGGACGCGTCGCCGTACCGCTTCGGGTCGACACTTGGCCGCAGGACGCCGCCGTCGACGCGGTCGTGCTCGTACACGTACTCGGTGAGCTCACCATCGTGGCTTGCACGCTCGATCTTGTTGGTCGGCGCCGCCGCCGTCGCGCCCAAGGGAAACGGAACCTTGGTCATGAAGCCGCCGAGCCGCGACATGGCCGACATGGCAGTGCTGGCGCCGGACGGCGGCCCGATCGTCGACGCAAAGCTTAGGCCTGTGCTCGACGTCACGCTCGGCGCGTTGCCCGCGGCAGTGTTGCTCGACGAGCCATGCCCGAGGAACTTGCCGAACGTGTTCATGCTGCGGTGGCCAGCTCCGAGGTCGTCGAATAGTCAGTTGATGCTGGGACAGAATGATGGTATCTATAAAAAGCAATACAAAGCCATAAAAAACATTTGGAAGCATTTCGAGCAGCGATTCAACGCTGCCATTGCATCGAGATGTAAAATTGCAGTGCCATCAATCAATGACCGATGAGCCCGATGGCAATGTGCATCTTTACATGGTCGAACTCGGTCGGGATGGCGAGAATCGTGAGGACAAGGTGCCACGCTACCGCGTTCGATCCCTGCGTCCAGCGTCGCCAGTCGTGGCTCGAACAAGGGTTCGGTCTCGATACTTTAGTTCATGTGCCTGGGTGCCTCTCGGG